CCAAACCTCTCCAACATCTGTTGTTTGTTGCTTTGTTTATGATAGCCATCCTGACTGGTGTAAAGTGTTATCTCACTGTGATTTTAATTTGCATCTCTCTGATAGCTAATGATATTGAGCATCTCTTCATGTGTCTCTAGATGTTCTGTATGTCCTCCTTGGAGAAGTGTCTGTTCAAGTCCTTTTCCCATTTTTTAATTGGGTTAAATGTCTTCCTAGAGTGGAGTCGTATAAGTTCTTTGTATATTTTGGAGATTAAACCTTTGTCTGAAGTATCATTGGCAAATATGTTTTCCCATACAGTTGGTTGTCTTGCTAATTTAATACTGTTTTCTTTAGCCATGCAGAAGCTTTTAATTTTGATGAGATCCCATTTGTTTATTCTTTCCTTTATATTCCTTGCTCTAGGGGACATATCAGTAAATATGTTGCTGCATGGAATATCTGAGATTTTCTTGCCAATGTTCTCCTCTAGGACCTTAATGGTGTCACAACTTACATTTAAGTCTTTTATCCACCTTGAATTTATTTTGGTGTATGGTGTAAGTTGGTGCTCAAGTTTCATTTTTTTTGCACATAGCTGTCCAGTTCTCCCAACACCATTTGCTGAAGAGGTTATCTTTACTCCATTTTATGTTACTGCCCCTCTTTGTCAAATATTAATTGACTGTAGAGAGTTGGGTTGATTTCTGGGCTCTCTGTTCTGTTCCATTGGTCTATGTGCCTGTTTTTATGCCAGTACCAGGATGGATGCAATTTGCCAATATTTTGTTGAGGATTTTAGCATCTACGTTCATCAGTGATATTGGCCTGAAGTTTTCTTTCTTTGTTGTATCTCTATCCGGTTTTGGAATTAGGATGATGCTGGCTTCATAAAAGGAATTTGGGAGTTTTCCATCCTTTTGGATTTTTTGGAATAGTCTGTGAAGAATGGGGATTAGCTCTTCCTTAATGCTTTGTAGAATTCTCCTGTGAAACCATCTGGTCCTGGGCTTTTGTGTGATGGGAGTTTTTTGATTACTGCTTCAATTTCTTTTGCTGTTATTGGTCTATTCAGGTGTTCTACTTCTTTTTCACTGAGTTTTGGGAGATTATATTTTTCTAAAAATTTGTCCATTTCCCCTAGGTTCTCAAATTTCTTGGCATACAGTTCTTCATAGTAATTTCTTACAACCCTTTGTATTTCTGTGGTATCAGTTGTAATCTCTCCTCTTTCATTTCTGATTGTGTTTATTTGAGTCCTCTCTCTTCTTTTCTTGATGAGCCTACTTAAAGGCTTGTCTATTTTGTTTATCTTTTCAAAGAACCAACTCCTGGATTCATTGATCCTTAGAATTGTGCTTTTAGTCTCTATGTCATTTAGTTCTGCTCTGATCTTAGTTATTTTCTTCCTTCTACTTGCTTTGGGCTATTTTTGTTGTTGTTCCTCGAGTTCTTTCAGGTATAGAGTAAGGTTGTTTGTTTGAAATGTTTCTATCTTCTTTAGGTAGGCCTGTATTGCTATAAACTTCCCTCTCAGGACTGCCTTGGCTGTGTCCCATAAGTTTTGGGTTGTTGTGAGATCATTTTCATTTGTTTCCAGAAACTTTTTGATTCCTTCCCTAATTTCATTCTTGACCCATTCATTGTTTAATAGCATACCATTCAGTCTCCATGATTTTGGGTGTTTTGGGTTTTTTCCTTTGGGGTTGGTTCCCAGTTTCAGTCCCTTGTGGTCAGAGAAAATGCTTGGTATGATTTCAATATTCTTGAATTTTTTGAGGCTCATTTTGTGTCCTATCATGTGGTCTATCTTTGAGAATGTTCCATGTGCATTTGAAAAGAATGTGTATTTAGCTTCTTTGGGGTGATTACCCAGTAGTTCTTAACCAGGGATATGTATAAGAATAACCCCAAAGGCTTTTTCAATGTGTAAATGGCACATGTAAAGCTATATTTGGTGGTGTGAGATGTAGCAATGGTGTTAGCATAAAATTTCCTCTCATTTGGGCTTCTTCCAGAGATGAGCATTCATCTTGCTAAGGATTGTTTCTTTGTTGAAAGGTATTTTGCACTAAATTGTCAAATAAATAATTCCTAGCTCATCTCCAGGTAGTTTTATAAGCCCAACTAGTAATGTTGCAGACTCACTTCAAAGCCTGGTGAATCTTCTTAGAAAGTTTTGTGGTAAGGTAAAAAACCTTGGGATCAATTTTATTTTTAAAAATTTAAGCAACCCCCCCCCAAAAGTAATAGGGCTTTCCTTTATTGTACAGAGTTTGGGTAAAGGAGTTTTGAATTGAGTTTTTATGAAAATTGTAATAAGTTACCTATGCTCTGTCCCTTCTTGTTTCCAGTGTCATCATTTTGCAAGAAGTTGTGGTTATGCTCCTATTTCACAAAGTGTGTCCTTCAATTGTGATGTCAGTTTTCTCTCTCTCTCACTCATGAATCACTAAGAACTCACTCACATAAATGTCCAGCAAGAATATTTGGCCATTACATTTCCTAGATCACTGAATAAACTCTCTCAAGTGATCTGTATACCCATGTTAAATTCAAGGAGTGTTATATGAGGCAAACATTTGTATCTGAATACACACATGAAATGAGATTCTCCAGGACAGGGAATTCCTAACTTTCCAAAAATACCAGTCCTGGAAAGAGAATAGGAGGGGCATTAGCCTGGAATGTTGAATGCACCCAAAAGGAACTACTTGGTTGTTTTAAGAACTTCTCCCTGTATATTCAAAGCCAAAGAGAAAATTCAGAAGCCCCAGGTGAATGTAAACAGATTAGAGTGCTGTGTGTTGGAGAAAAATGTACTCTTAGGAAAAGTCAAGGTTTTTCCAAATGAAGAAGACTAGGGTAGGATTATCCAAGTGAATTGATAGAAATCAAGCCTCTGCCAACAGCACAAAAAACTGGGATACTCAATAAGAAAAAGGGCATTTAAGTTAGCATACTGTGACTCTCCCTGTTTTGGATAGCAAGTGATTAAGCATTAATTTAGTGCTTCCTGAAAAAAAAAACATAAAATATTCATTCTCCAAATTACTCTAAACTTACCAATTAAGAAAGTTCTCATGTTGGTGAATTGGAAGCAGCATCCTGTGATGGAAGAGAAGACATGAGCTTGAGGGTTGCTCACCCACCTGTGAGCTCATGAACGCCAAGACCTCACTGAACATCTCATGGCTTCCTTTTCCTTAGTGCAAGATCACTTCAGGAATTAACTGAGTATGCAAGTTGGTGTTGGGAACCATCCTGCCTGGTTTCAGGATCTATTAACCCCACCGACAGGAAAAAAGACCCCATGGCTAGGGGACCTTAGGACCATAAGCCACTAAAGAGACTAAATTTATTCTCTCCGCAGGGGAACAGCCTCTGCCCCTTTTACTTCACTCTGCTTGGCTCCTGGAGGATGGCTGGATAGTCAATGACATGTAAGATTCCTCAAGAAAGGAACAACCTACAATCATGAAGAGGCCATCAGGGAAGAATTTAGGGGATTGTGAAGAAAGGACAAAAAAACCCTCACCCCTCAGCTTTATCATAGCCCGAGTCCTCATTCTATCTGTAAAAAGTCTCCTAATCTCTTGGCTGCCTTGCTTTCCCCACCTGATTCAGGCCTGAAACAATTCCAAAAGGGGGTGCAGCCCTGTGCTGGAACCAGAAGTTCCCGGTGTGGGGTGATCAGGCCTAAGAAAGAATATATAAAGTTCTGTGAAACCTAAGAATGTCCTCAATATAAATGTTAAGGGTGCAAGCACAAAATAAGTTTGTTTCTCAAGGTTTTACAGCCAACTGGCATCACCCTGTCTATCAGACTCTGACTCAAAAGGACCCCCATAATCCCAGATATGTTATTTGTAAACCATACCTCCTTTCTTTGATGTGCATTCCCTATGCAAGCTAAACTCAATAAAAGCCCATTGAGAGAGGGGCTAAACACCTTTCTCCTCTGAGAGACTGGTCAGCCTTCCTACCAAAGTAGATCATGTCTTGGTAGAATTATATTCATCCACAGAGGCCAGGGGAGTTCTGTGGGCAGAGCCCACCCACCTGTGGTTATGTACCTAGTAAATCTGCAAAGTGCTATGTGAATGTGACCTTTTATTTATTTTTTAAACAAAACCCTCATTTAAGGGTGGTTGAGTGCATATTCCCAGGGCAGCATGAAGGCCCAGTAGATGGGGATTCCAGCTCAAATAGGCAGCTTCATTTGCATATTTACTCTTCACTTACACACCAGAAACTTTGGAGCTGTGATTTCATAGGTAAGTTAGGAACCTACCTAGGTAAGTAGGTAGGTAAGTAGCCCAGTTATTTAATAGGTAAGGTAGAAACAACAGTCATACTCATGACTTTGGATTGTGATGAGCAGATAAGAATTCACACAGGAAAAGCATCCAACACAAATCATGATTCATTGTGTCCTATAGATGTGGTGCTCTCAGTAGAAATTGTAAAACTTCTGAAATACGGAAAGGAGTAGACTAAGCAGGATGTCTGAACTAAGTTGAGTAATGTCCTTCCTGGGACAGCCATCAGTTGTAAGAGGTCCCTCTAATGAACTGGAAATCTCCTCTATGGCATGTCTGACTCTGAGTCAACAGGAGAGAGCATTGCTCTGGTGTTCAGGTGTATTTCTGTGTGCCCAAATTTTAGTAAGGTAATTAATCACACTACAGCAAAGTTTGCAGCTGCCGTTTTGGAAGAACCATCATAGAGTGATTTTTTCCAGGTATACACTTGCCACAACTGTACTTTCACATCACAAAAGAGGAGTCGGCATGCAAAGTATATTACCTTAAAATAAAGTACAGTCAAATTTGGGATGGATGAAGGCAATAGGGAGAAACAAGTGATGGATCTCAACTGTGAGAATTTCACTTGAAAGAATTTCTGGGCTGGACATCTGCAATAAACTCTGGACTGAGGCACATTCTACTATGAGTAAAGAGGATTTATAATGGAATGACATAGATAGGTTCTTATAATCAGAAAACCATACTGACCTTCACACTACACAGGTGCAGCAGCATAATGACCCAATGTGTATGCGCATCAGTTCCTGGGGAAAGTCCAATGAAGTTAACTCAGTGTAGATTTCAAGCAAACAAAAATCAGTGACATTACTTATGTGAAAATCCTGGTGCCTCCATCTGCCACCAAGACACTCCTGGGCAACCAATATGTGAAAAAAGATTACATGAGGATCATACACATTTTGTTAAAATGGACAAAATGTAGCAAGCAACAGTACTTTGTGTCATGAATACTTTGAATTGGATTTTTAAATTTAACTTTAAAAGTAAGAATCAGAAGCCTAGAAGTTGGGGGGGGCGGTTGAGAAAACCAAGATTTTGGGTGGTGTCTTTGGGGAGGAAAAGTTCTGTCTACGCCCTCTACTCTATCCTCTGAGAATACTTAAAGCATCCTCAGATGTACTCCACTCATAAAACCTCCTCAACCACAAAGAAACTGGATTTATAGTTAAAATACCAAAATATCACTGACTAACACTGTTGCATTTCTCACTCAGGCATGTACTCAAATGTGAAATACTCAAGAGGGAGTACTTCACATTACCTGTAGAGTCTAGGAGAGTACTCCTCCAAATGGCAATCACTGGTCACACCATCAGCACTTTAGTGGCCAGAAACCATGACAAAAATTAGGACTCAACCAAAAAGAAGCCAGACACAGGAAAATTGCTAAAGGTATTTTACCAATGTACTCATAATCGAAGTACCACTTTAGTTCATGAGTCTTTATTCTAATTTTATGACCTCATTTCCTCTAAAGTTAAAGTTGCTAAGACAGTAATCAATATGGTCTTATTGTAGAATAAAGTGGGATATTATGTCAGGTTTCCAAAACCCCAATTAAACCTAAATTTTTGCTGACAAATGAGTCACAAGCTTGATTCTGGATGCATAAGTCATGGTCTCATCCTTGAGCTGATAAGATTTGAAAGTAGAGAAATAGAGAATTTGACTACTATGTACTAAGATCCTGCTCTGTGACCAACCCTATGCTGGGAGCTGCTTAGCTTCTCAGTGTTAGACAGACTTCCTGGCATTCCCTCCTTAAGACTCCTTTCCCTGTCATGACCACTGGCCTCCCAGAAGCTCCTCAGCCTACCCAGTTATACTTCATTTGCAGGCTCTTTCATGTTGCAGGTCCTCAGACCCTTCTATGTTCACACTAGGTGCTTATATTCCTGCCCATGACCTCAATTATTATCTGAGCGTTTATAATTCCCAAGTTTCTGTGAAAGCTAAAAGCTTTCATCTAATGTCCAAACACAACACCCATTGGGATGCAGCACAAAAAGAGCTCATGGTATTGAACCTCAAATCTGATCCTCTCCCAGAAGCCCAGACTTAGTAATGGTTCTTCCACTTACCTGCTCTCCCTCTCAGCAATTTGGGAGTATACTTCAACTCCTTTTGTCTCCCCAGCCCATCTTCTTCATTCAATGAAGCACCCAGTTCATTTGCCTAAATCTCTTAACAGTTTCAGAATCCATCTGTCTCCCACTATTTCTATCTCCTCCATTATAACACAAGTGACCCTCCTACCCAATTAAATTAACCCAACATGGTCTCCCCATCTTACCTTTGTCCCAAAGACTATATTTTGCCATGTATAATGCACATTGTTCTTGTCCAAATTATGGAGGGAAAAATAAGGATGCATATTATACATGGGCAGTACTAATTCTGTATCTATATAAATGTTTTCAATTATTTTATTTATGCTTATTCATTAAAAGTGTAACTCTAGAAAGCAATAATGATATTCATGTGCAAAATATCCTGGAATATAATAAGTGGTTTTGTTTCTAAATATAAATAAACAATTCAATTAAAAAATTAAAATTAAAATGAAGGATTTTTTTCTGAAAGCTGGGGAAAAAAACATGGGTGTTCATTATATATGGGAGTGTATTATACAAGTCAAAATATGCCATTCTGGAGACTTCCACCAAGATGGAGGTGTAGGTGGAAACACTGTGCCTTTTCACACAACCAAGTTTAAAAACAACAAAGTTTTAGCAACAAAAATGTAGCCAAACAACAGAAAATTGAACTATATGACAACAATGAACCATTCAGCCAGACTGGTAAGAGAGGCGGAGCCAGCAGCTGAGCAAGGTCAGGCAGGAAAGATCCGCTGACCCAGGCATGCAGGTAGCCATGGATGGATCCCAGGTGTGGGGTAGCAACAGGTGGACCCAGTGAGGGTGCAAGGTGGCACGGGATTTCAGTCACACATTGGCGCACAGATAAACCAGTGAAGGAATGAGCAGTGAGACATACCGCACAGGCCTCAGCAGCGGGAAGCAGCAGAGAGGACCACTATTGCTCCCTCTCTGACCCCGCCCCCACATACAGTGTCACAACCGAGCAATTGGGGTGGCCCCACCCTGGTGAACACCTAAGGCTCCCCTCCTCATACGTAACAGGTGCAAACAGACCAAAACATGGCTCAAGAAGAACTCAAACCCCCAGAACCAATAACTCTAAGTGACCAAGAAATTGCCAACCTATCAGATGCATAGCTCAAAACACTGGTGATCAGGATGCTCACAGAACTGGTTAATTTTAGTCACAAATTAGAGGAACATATGAAGGCTAAACTAATTGAAATGAAGGGAAATGCACAGGAAACCAATAGTGATGGAAAGGAGACTGTAACTCAAATCAAGGGAGGGTACCAGAGGAAGAAAAAACTGACCAAACAGAAAAATATGAAGAAACAAAAATTCAAAAAAATGAGGAGAGGCTTAGGAACCTTCAGGATATCTTTAAATCCTCCAACATTCTAATTATAGGGGTACCAGAAGGGGAAGAGAAAGAGCAACAAGTGGAAAATTTTTTGAACAAATAATGAAGGAGAACTTCCCCAATCTGGCAAAGGAAATAGACTTCCAGGAAATCCAGGAAACTCAGAGAGTCCCAAAGAAGTTGGACTCAAGAAGGAACACACCAAGGCACATCATCATTGCATTAGCCAAGATTCAAATGAAGGAGAGAATCCTAGAAGCAGCAAGAGATAAGGGGACTGTCATCTACAAAGGAGTTTCCATCAGACTGTCAGTGGATTTCTCAGAAGAGACCTTACAGGCAAGAAGGGGCTGGAAAGAAGTATTCCAAGTCATGAAATCCAAACACGTACAACCAAGATTGCTTTATCCAGCAGAGATTTCATTTAGAATGGAAGGACAGATAAAGTGCTTTCTGATAAGGTCAAGTTCAAGGAGTTCATCATCACCAAGCCCTTTTTATATGAAATGTTAAAGGGACTTATCTAAGAAAAAGAAGATGAAAAAGATGAACAGTGAAAGGACAGCAAACTCACGGTTATTAACAACCACACCTAAAACAAAAGCAAACTAAGAGAACAGCTAGATCAGGAGTGGAAACATAGAAATGAAGATCTCATGGAGGGTTAGCAACAGGGGAGTGGGAGGAGGAGAAGTGGGGAGAAGGTACAGAAAATAAGTAGCATAGATGGTAGGTAGAAAATCGGTAGGAGGAGGGCAAGAATAGTATGGGAAATATAGAATCTAAAGAACTTGAGACATGTGGTCATAAACTAAAGTGGAGGGGAATAGTGGAGGACGGGGTGTGCATGGTTGAGGGGAATGAAGGAGGAGAATAGAACAACTGTAATGGCATAATCAATAAAAAATATTTTTTAAAACATATGCCATTCTCTACAACAGACAGAATACTTTTTATACAGAGAACATCTTTTGTGATACTTCTCGCTTTAGTGGCTTCACAATTCCTTTAGGTTAAAGTTCAAAATACAAGTATGAGATTTATTTATTTCTTGCAAACATGAAAAAAGATCTGTCCCTACCTCCATCCTGTTCCCATTTCACCAATAACATCCCAGCTACAGAGAATTTTACTGTTTTCAGAGACACTTGTTTCTCCTTGCCTTGGAGACTTCAGTATGCTATTCCTTCTGTCTGAAATATGCTTCCTCAGCCTTTGTGGTTCCTAAACAGGAGAGATGCCCCTGGAATATCACCCTGCGCTTATTTGGACAGTTTTGAAAATACTTCTAAAGACCTATTAACATAACTTGTTTAATATCTGTCTTGCAAAGTAACCGAGAATTTGCTGGCAGCTGGGCTGTTATCCTCAGTACTTACACAGAGACTGGTACAAGGGCATTCTCGCTATATACAATGAGAATTGGATGAATAGGTGATTGAAACATTGGGGACCAACTGAGTTCCTTAGGAACTCACAGTCTAGACTTTAGAAGGTATAAAATAAATCTTTAGTTGCACCTGTCCTAAACCAAATGCTGATCCAGTTAATCAAACATACAGAAACACATTAAGAAGGTAAGCACAACAGAAAAAAGACCATTCAAATTACATGTTATTTATTTAACACTTAGCACTGAGGATACAGATGATTTTACTTTACAGCTTTCTCTAAACTGTTTTCTTTCAGTTTTGTAATTGTTTAACTGCAAAACTTGATGCTGGTAAAGAAAAATGAAGGTATAAATGGAGACTTTATTTAAAAATGAAAAACATTAACAAAGATCCATCTCGAAACCCTGAAATCACACACCACCTTACTAGGAGGCTCTTGGCAGAAATAAGTTGTGGTCCAAGGAAATTAAGAATGTAAATGAGACCCTGGCTGGATGGCTCAGTTGTTTGGAGTGTCCTTCCATACACCAAAAGGTTGTGGGTTTGATTCCAAATAAAGGCACATACCTAGGTTGCTGGTTCAATCCACAGTCAGGGAACTGTTACTCTCTCACATGGATGTTTCTCCCTCTCCCTGCCTCTCTCTCTCTCTCAAATCAGTAAATATATCTTCAGGTGAAGGTTAAAAAATAAAATGAAGACAAAGTGATCTCTCTACATCATAGCAACCAGATAAGTGCTCTACCTCCCTGCTTCCAGCACAACTAAGTTTACAGATCCAAATGGGCTCATAATTTGTTCTACCTGTATACAAATTATGTATACATGATTTAAGAATCCTTAAAGATCTCAGTGAATGAT